GGTGCACAGGTATTTCATGCCAAAATATGACTTTGAGAAATTCTCCTGATTGTTCCCAAATGTCAACCAATCAGAAACCAACCCATACATACTGATGTAATCCTGTAACTTTTGTCTTTAAAACCTAGCAGTAGACAGGGAACTTCACACCCTCTGGGGGCTGTTGCGACAGCCACCCAGATGGGGTCCGTGTCATGGGTGGATGAACAATTAAAACCTCGCTTTTGCAGTTTAGTGGGCCTGTGTTCCTGGTGGTCTCTGGGGACTTTGCAACTTGGGCACAACAGTTACAGCCACATGACGAGTACCAGTAGAGCATCTTGGAACAGATGTTGTCGGTTATTTCACATCTCGAGAGTCTGGCAGATGTTTTACTAAGGCCGTGGTTCTCAACCTTCCTAACATTGTGACCCTTTAATACTGGTCCTCATGTTATGGTGACCCCCAACCATAAAATTATTTTGTTGCTACTTCATAACAGTAATTCTGCTACTGGTATGAATCATAATGTAAATATTTTATGTGTCCCCCAAAGAGGTCATAACTCACAGGTCAGAACTGCCAAGAGACAAGAATTCCATCTGTCCTTCCTTCTACCCCAACTTACCCAGATACGGGATAAGCACAGCTTCTGAATCCACTGTTAGTCCTGCTCTGATTAAATCCTACCAGATTTCTGTGTTAAAGTGGGCTGTTGATAACACAGTGGCCATATCTTAGAAATAAGAGCAGGAGGATCCACAATTGACAGCCTCTTTTCTGTTTGTAACTTAACATGCCCAAGTAATTCTTCAAGACAGCAAAATTGTTCAAATGCATAGCAGTCTATGATAAGAATCCAAGATTAGAGGGGTCATCCTACATGTCTAAAAAGTGAAAATTTGAGCAATGAAATGCATTCATTGGACTAAGAAATTTTGTCTTGTTTAAAATACTTTAAAGTTTTCCATTGCAAACTTCAAATTCGGAGGCCTTTTCCCCCACAAATAGCATAATTACATGTATACCTATAAACAGTTTTATTATTTTACCTTTTTTTGGCTTTTCCAGACATGGTTTCTGTGTGTATCCCTGGCTGTCCTGGAACTCTCTTTATAGACCAGGCTGGCCTTGAACTCACAGAGATTTGCTTGCCTCTGCTTCCCAAATGCTGGGATTAAGGGAGAGAACCACTGCTATCCAGCTTGGCTTTTACTTTGTTTTGTTTTCAGGTAGCACATATATATGTTCAGATAATATATATATACATATATGTGTATATATATATATATATATATATATATATATATAGTTCAAGCTGGCCTTGAACTCCTGATCCTCATGCCATAGCCTCTCAGTGCTGAGATTATAAGAGTGTGTCTCCATTCACAGCTATAAACATTTTTATAGTAAAAAAATGTCTGGATATTCTAGGACAAAATTAACATTACCAATCTTTTCTTCTTGTACAATACTGTTCTGCATCAATTCTGACTTTATATTTTGTGTGCACAAGTGTTTCACGGATGTAGTGCCTGCAGGGGCCAGAAGAGGGTGCTGGATCCCCAACAACTGGCATCAGACAGCTGTGAGCCTCCATGTGCTGCTATGTGGAGTCTGGGAAGAGAACCTGGGTCCTCCGGAAGAGCGGTCATTCCCCTTAACTGCTAAACCATCTCTCCAGACACTGAATTCTGAATTTTTCACAGTCAATAGAATTAGAAATTTAAGTCAAAGTATTAGTTACTCTTATTATAACCTTGATAATCTCCCTGAACTGATCCTTTGTGCTTAAGCACGAGGTTAAACTGAAACAGCATGGGGGAGGGGCAGTAAAGTGGAAGTCAGTCATGTTTTAAACTAATGTGACGAGAAGTCTTTTCACAAAGCATGAAGAAGCCGAGAAAACCATACAAAGGTGAGAAAAGCTAAGCCTTGCTTTATGTCCATTCCTGTGGCATCCAGACTGATTCTCCCACTTGTACCAGATTAAGACGTATTTCATGTGTTTAGTTTCTTTTCTTTTTTGGGGGGAGGGGGTTTCAAGACAGGGTTTCTCTGTACTGTTTTGGAGGCTGTCCTGGAACTCAATATGTAGACCAGGCTGCCCTGGAACTCACAGAGATCCTCCTGCCTCTTCCTCCCCAGTTCTGGGATTAAAGGCGTGCGCCACCAACACCCGGCAATAGATAGAATTTCTAAACATTCTTTTTTTTTTCTTCAGTCATTACCTATAGTGGAAAGGATAAATGCAAAAATTTCACACTGAAGATTATCTATCTAGTTGTTACAAGTTGGTGACCTTCCTTCTGGTTTCAGATTATTCGAGATACTAGAATGAAAGTCGCACGCACTTTGCCCCTGAAAAGGACACAGGTCACAGGCGGACAGTGTTTACTCTATGAACCTGAAGTGAACTTTACTTCTCTTTTCGCCCTCCAACAATGCAGCTGTGGTTTAATGTCAACAACACTTGGACTCAGTATCACTTTCTGTGGGGAATTCCACCCCTCCTCCACCCCGCCCTGCACCCATAGCCACTCAGGAAAGTTGCCAAGACTTAGTATATTAAAGTTTTATTAGTAAATCCACATTTCTTAGCACTGACACACCTATATCCTGTAGAAGAAAAATTTTTTGTCTTTTACAGTATTTAGACTGCCCCAAACCACCCCCTGAAATGTCCCTGTTTTGTAGCCATGATACAGTTTGATTTAGTGCTTAGAATGCATTACCATCACCCCAATCCTGTAACAAGCTTCCACACGAAGGGCAGTCACTTAGATTGTTTCAAAGTTCAAGTGCCAGTTCCTCCGGGAGATAAGCATGTACCCACAGGACACACGTTACGGTGGCCAATAACAGAAAAAACAAATCAAGGGGACAAAGGTCTGAAAAAGACAGGTATCTGTCTATCTGCTCTACCTCATTATCTCCTCGAACGCGTGCCTCCCCTGCAGTGCCGTCAAACAGTCCCTGAACTTTTCAGACTCACTCTACAGAGACTTTGCTTTCTTCCCACTATGGTCCTGTCTGCTCCTCTGGTTCTAGAAAGGCTTTAAGATTAAGATTTTTAAGTTACTAAGAATGTGATAGCTTAATCGATATGTAATGGGAAGGGTACACTTGAGCGGGCTTAATGCAGTATGACTTAGAGGACTCTGGGACTGACTAGTGAGAAGGCCGTAGGAGTCCAGACATCTTTTCTTTTCCTCCTCACCCATCCTTTCCCCCTTCCCTTACCATGCTCTTCCCTCTCCTCCTTCCCCTCCAACCTTCTATTCTCTTCCCAGTTCTTCTGTCTACTCCCCTCTCCTAACACTTCCCTCCTCTCCCTCCTCCTCTGTTTTTGTTTCATTTTTGTTTTTGTTTTCAAGATAGGGTTTACCTGTGTGGCCCTGGCTATCCTAGAACTCACTCTTTAGACCAGGCTGGCCTCAAACTCAAAGATCTGCCTGCCTCTGCCTCTCAAGCATTAGGTTTAAAGGCATGCACCACCCCCTTCCTGGCTTTAAAGTGGGGTTCATTTTGCATAATAGCCTTTACCAGAAAACAGTAGGATAGAGCCACCGACATATATCAGCAGCCCCCGAGAGCTATGGACTTTGAATTAATTCTGCCAACTGCCAGGGAGTACCCAGTATCTCCTTCTGGGTTTCAGTAACAGTTCCTACTCTTAGGGTACACTCACACTTCCGCTGCCTTCTCTGTTTCCTCAAGACTGCAGGAGCTGGAACCCATTCCTCTTTGCAACTGTAGTGTCTAGCTCAGAGAATGGCACCTATCTATTAAATGAAGCTCTGCCAAAATGCTTCAGGGCAAAGGGTCATGTCATTGTAAGTGTCTTAAAGAACATATACAGAATCAATGAGACGCTTCTACAAAAGTGAAGCACATATCCTGCTAATTGCATAAAAAAGCCCTTATATTACATATTAAAAAAAAACACAGGAGAACTGAATAATAGTTAGGGAACCGAGTACCTCAGGACTCAAGAATAATGTTGGATGGTGTTCCAGGTTTTCATTTTAGTTCATCTGTCTCAGACTTGATGAAGGAGCAACATGGAAATACCAGAGTGGGGAGGCGGCAGGGACTGCTCTCCCCATCCAAAGGGCCATAGAGGGGGAAAGTAGGACACAAATAAAATCTATTTTAATGAAACACTCAAAAAGAACCATCTCCCCCCAGCACACAGACACATGATTTGGGGAACCTAGACTTCTACCTTCGGCAAACTATAAGGCTAGCACACCAGCAGAGAAGGCTGAGTAGGAACTGAGATTTCATCCCCATTGAGTGGTAATGAAGTTTGCTCCAGGATGCCAGCATCACCGGAGACCACATGGGAGCAGTAAGTGGTACTGCTCACACCCCAGCCAGGGAGGCATCAGCAGTGAACTAACAGAGAGCTGAGTTCCCACCCTGCTTACCTCTTCTCATCCCAGTCCCAGTGGAAGGAGGGTGGGATGCTTCAGTTCCCAGGCACAGCCTGCAATAAGGAAGCAGAGTCCGCACTATTCCTGTTAGGATGATATCAGTGAAGATTTACATAGGATGCAGAGTCTCAGAATCAGAATGCCTTTAAAAAAACCACTCATTAGAAGCAGAAAAATATGTTGAGAAAAAGAAAACCTACCATCTGTAGATGCAAATACTGACATATGAGATGCTGGAATTATCCAAAGAAGACTATACAACCGCCATCATAAAAATATTTCAGCAAGCAATTGCAAACACACATGAAACAAATGAAAAAGTTGATACTCAATGGAACTGACAAAAATTCTCAGCAAACAGAAAAAAATAAAGTTTAGAAATACAACAATATTTTATGTTTAAAACCAATAGGAAGGCTCAACAGCAGAATGGATAAGATAAAAGGCAAAATCAAAACAAACAAAACATTAGACACAATGACAGAAAAATACTAAACCTGAACACGCAAAGAACAGATAAAAAATGCACATACAAGAGTTGAATAGACTACGAGCTAAAATAAAATGACGCTTTCTAAGTTGTTCAGTAAATTTCAGTTACAAGTTTTATTATTTAAACATATTTGTGGATGACACAAAAAATGGTCATCCTATGGAGAAAGTATGAAAATCTTTGGTAGATAATATTATACCAAAAGTGGACCCAGGAAACCTGCAATTTAACATAGCCGTGGAAAGTCACAGGTTGGAACAAGGGCACAATCAATGCAGAGGGGAAAATCACCTTCACTGTGTTATTTGTCATGGCCACAGTGAAGATGCTAAGTGATGGGTAACATAACCTCTTCAGATCCACACACCCTCAAACCTAAGAGCTAAGCCAGGCAAAGGCCTTCTCCCACAGGTGGGGCCCCTTGTATAGAGGTAAACATTCTTCTCAATGGAAAATGCCACTTTGCAAATGTCAATGAGTTCAAGGCCAATTTTAAGTGGCCCAAGAGAACCACTTTCAGAGCTGTTTTCAATATTTGTTTATTTCTAGTGAAGATAATGTGAATACGTGTGTGTGTGTGTGTGTGTGTGTACAAATGTAGACTCCAATTTTTAGAATAGCTAGACATATTCAACTCACAACTTTCCCATCAGAGTCCTACTTGTCAGAGTCACTAAGTCTGAAGAGATCCAAACACAATTTGTTTTAAAATCACCAGACTAATGATTTCGCTTTTGGAAGAGACAGAAAAAAACAGAAATGGGACTTCAAAAAATTTTAGTTAAAACCGAAACTCCAAGTTAAAATTAATCCAGAACCACTTTCTATTTTTAATGCGACAAGGATTACCCCAGTCCTTTACTTAGCTTTATTACAAATAATAAGATTCCAGCATCATGTCCACTGCCCCTTCTCCCTGAAGAGAGTCCCAAGAGCACCTGCAGGTGTGAAGTGTCTTTACTCCCGGTGTGTCAATAACACACTTAAGCCTTACGCAGGAAACCTGCACGACACAGGACACGAACAGCGTCTGATGTGTTGAGTGTCAATGGCCCAGAGTAGACATCACAAAGGATTCCCAGTTGTAACTCCACTTGACAGTTCTCAAACAATTCGAAAGTGTAGAGGACGGTATAAAATATAAGATTCTCTCAAAAAAAGATTTAGGGTCCTTTTTTATTTTAATAAAAAAATCAGTCTTCTTGGCTAAAGATTGGCAAATGTGTTTTCAACCTCAACAGGTCTGAAACTGATTCTTGTCGTTCATGGTAGAAGCTGAGTCCAGTGATGAGTTCGACATCTGCAATCCGAGCTCTGTGCAATGTCAGTAACTCTTCGATCCATGTAGACTCCTGTTTCCCATACTGGAATGCAGGAAAATGAAGACACGTCACCAGAGAACATGCAGCCCACTTTCCCAATAAGATCTCCCTCTTCCCACTTCAGTCACTAACGACTTTTTGGGCTGAGAAATGGTAAGTCATATTATGCATAAGCCACACTTTTGGGTAGCATATTTTCCAGTATCTACAATATACATGTCTGTTAAATTAGATGTATCAAACTTGAGGGGGCAAAAATAATCATTCCTGCGAACTTCAAAGGTACCAGAAAGCTGGGTGGTGGTGGGTCATGCCTTTAATTCCAAAACTTGGGAGGCAGAGGCAGGTGGATTTCCGAGTTTGAAGCCAGTCTGGTCTACAGAGAGAGTTCCAGGACAACCAGGGCTACACAGAGAAACCCTGTCTCGAAACACCAAAACTAAACAATATGACAACAACAAAACAGAAAATGGGAACTATATGGCATGGTAGAGAGAAATGTGGGGGATACAGATACAGGTTCTGATTGTATTGTCCTATTGGAAAACTACTTGACAAGTGAATTTGTACTCCTTTACCATATTCTTCTGGGGTGGTTTATTTACTTGTTGAGTTTTATTTATTTTTCAATTTTGTATGTATAGGTGTTTTGCCTGCCTGCATATTGTGCACCACAACAGACGAGATGAGCAGATCTGGAACTAAAGTTACAGATCATTGCTGGCTGCCATGTGGGTGCTACAATCCAACCTGAGGCCACTGGAAAAGTAGCCAGTGTTCTTAACTAGTGAGCCATCTTTCCTGGCTCTGTGTTAGACTGGGTTTTTTTTGTTTTGTTTTTTTTTTTTTTTTTTTGGTTTTTCGAGACAGGGTTTCTCTGTGGCTTTGGAGGCTGTCCTGGAACTAGCTCTTGTAGACCAGGCTGGCCTCGAACTCACAGAGATCCGCCTGCCTCTGCCTCCCAAGTGCTGGGATTAAAGGCGTGCGCCACCAACGCCCGGCTAGACTGGTTTTTAAAGACCAAATATAAATTGTGAGCAACTGTGTTACACAAACTCTAGTCCCCATAGGAATGTGTAATCTTTACAGCTGCATGAAAATGGGTTTGGAAAATATACAAAATGCAATTTTGTTTCTATAGAGAGTAAAGACCTAGATAATATGGGATCAGAAAAGAACCAAAAGTGAGTTTTCAGGGAAATGAAAGTAGAGATCATGGTTAAATCAGATAACATGGATAGAAATCGTGTATCCATAAGCATTTCTGAAAATGGCCATGGGAATATGTCAAAGACATATATCAAAAAAGCCTATAGGGCCAGTGAGACAGCTCATCAGTAAGAGCCCTTGCTGCCAAAGTTTATTCCCAACGACAAATGTCAGGGAAGGAAAGAACCAACCCCTGAAAGCTATTCTCTGAGATCTGTATGGCATTTGAACACACGCATGTGCATGCACACACATTATAAATAAATGCAATTGGGGTTTTTGCTTTATTTTTCTTTTTGCTTTTCATGATGGGGATTTGTTTTCTCTGTAGCTTTGAAGCCTGTCCTGGAACTCACTCTGTAGACCAGGATGGCCTCAAACTCACAGAGATCCACCTGTCTCTGCCTCCTGAGTGCTGGGAATAAAGGCGTGAGGCATCACCGCTCTGCTAAATGTAATTGTTTTAAAAGCCCCATGCATTCTTGAGACGTATTAGTTGAAAATAATAAACAGGCATTCCCATGCAAAGCAGATCAGCAACCTACCATTTCCCATTAATCTTCAACTTCCTACTGCCTAATACTCAGGTCCCTCTCTACCACAACCCTTACTCTGGCTTTGAGAGGAGCAGCTAAATCCGTGAATTCAGTAGGTAGTTTCCATTTGCTTCAATATCCATGGGAATGGGTAAAAACTATGCATAAAGAATCTGTTTCTTCTGGCTAATGAAACTAACTTTCAGTCACTCCTTCAGAGGTGAAATTGAAAGATCATTAACTACATGTGGCATGCCTTAAAAAAAAAAAACCTCTTTCTGGCTCAAATCCAATATTTAGCATCTTGTAAGTATGTTGCCATTAAAGAACTGGAATCAATGTTTTCATCACCAAAGGAGGGCATTTCCTTTTGGAATGGTAGAATAGAAGAGGGGTTCAATGTTTGACTCATGTCACTCAACATCATTTTGGTGAATGAATACACTGGTGGTGGCCTTTTTATTTCGGCAGGTTGGTGCAGAATGGACAACTGATATATTTAATGGCAATTTAATCTCTCAATGAAAAGGCGTGATGAAGAATATAAGCAATATTTCCATCCTCCAAAGAAATCATTGAACTGACAAACGTGATAGGAAAGATTTTCATAATAACATAACATGTAGAAACTTATTTAAATGCTGTCTGACTAGAACTGTAAGATATTTATAATAGTGGAATTATCAGTCTTGTTAGGGAACCCAGGAAAATTTCTATCACAAATCAACCTAGACTTTAGAAAATAGGCCATGGGAGAAGTTTCTGACCTGATTTTTACTGTTTTTAAGGACAAGATGGTCTTCTGTAAAGATGTGTCATTTTCAAAGATCAATTTAAGGACCATTGAGATGGACTTGTCACAAAGCTGGATGACCTGAGTCACACACAATCATAGGCCTCCACATGCATGATGCACTAAAGCAGCTATGCCCACAGATAACACACACACACACACACACACACACACACACACACACACACACACACACAATACATGCTATCTAAATAAATAATATAGTAAATAGCAAGGACCACATTTAACACCATCATGCAATTCTAAAGCCCATGTACACACAAGAGTTCTGTTTTTTCCAGAGCAATGTAAGGCACACACACTTTACATGTCAATGTGTGAGGGAGGCAAGGAAGGCTACTTACAATACAGCTCTCGATGTGATCAGGCCGATGAGGCAAGATGAAGGCTGAAGCATCCAAGTTTGTGCACTGGAAGAGACTCTCAGATGACAGTTTGCAGCAGGTCAGCACAATGAAGAAGTGAGTGGGAATCAGAACTTTCTGATTACGGATGACTTTGCTGTTTCTGTAAAGCACACAATACACACTTCCATTAAGAAATATCTACCTTTCTTTTAATAGGCACTTCAGTACGGCCTGCTCTTAATAAGACATATCTAAAATTCAAATTCAATTAAATAAGCATGTTATAAGAAGTTAAATAATCATGATGTCTCAGTATTCCAATCCTGATGCTGGTAATTAGAATATTCAAATAACTTTTTTCTATTGAAATTTGTTTTTTCATTTCTGCCTAAAGAATATCCAGACAGTATATATATATGTATGTTTATATATATATATATATATATCTTTGATCACTTATAACCAATATTCTAACTCTAGATCAATATTGATGTTGCCTTGTCTGCCACACAGTTACAGAGAATAGACCAAGGTTTCTTCTTCCAGTCCTTTCAGAGAGAACACATCATGAACTTTCCATCCCTTTGAATGAATTTTTATTTTATCCCCAAACTTTAACTGAAAAAAAAAACAAAACCTAACCACAGCCTGTCATTAAAATTATGTCCTCTGTTGTAACCCTATGCTTATTTGTTGAGCATCTTTGAAAATTTAAGGTAGTGATGTTACTATTTTCCAAATATGATCCTGTGTACAATCATAGCATGTAAAATAGAATGAAAACACGAGTTCTGGCTAAAGCTGTTAGTGGAAAGCATATAAGGTTTCTTCTACATGCTCAAAAACATTGCTTACAGGCCAACTACGTAAAAATGTTCTGTCTCAGTAAACACAACTGAACGGACTGGGTGTGGTAGCACATACCTTTAATGCTAGCACTAGGGACACAGAGGTCCTGGGTCTGAACCCTCCCCTATACCTTCTTCTCTTGTAAGAACCAAAAGCATCAACCAGGTTCTAAAACATGTTCCCTTCTCATTGTATAAAACCAACTCCATTGATAATTTCTTCAAGATGGTGGTTCCTTATGTGTCATCCAATGGAGATGGCTCATTGTCATGTTGTTAACTCAAGGCCATCAGATGTAAGACACTACATTTCCATGTCCTTTCTCATTTGTCCACTCTGGACCTTTGTCACTGGACCAATATTGTTCTCAGCTTCTGCTTCTAACTGACCGTCTCTTAAAGCATCCCCTGCTAGACGTTGGTGGCACACGCCTTTAATCCCAGCACTGGGGAGGCAGAGGCAGGCGGATCTCTGTGAGTTCAAGGCCAGCCTGGTCTACAGAGCAAGTTCCAGGACAGCCTCCAAAGCAATACAGAGAAACCCTGTCTCAAAAAACAAAAATCCACTTAAATGAGCATCCCGACACTGAGCCACACAGATTTTAAAACATGGTTACCATTTACACTATTCATATAAACTGCTCTACTAAATCATATAGGGAGGCATGGCTTCTCTCACTGAAAAAAAAATTTGATTGAAACCCCAGTAATATACCAAAATATATCATGGCTCCTGGGTGATAAAAGTCTCCTATGAATGAGTGAATTGTGCCGTACAGAAAAGGGTCTGCTGACTAGATGGAAATCCCCGTCTACAACCACTTTTAAGGCTGAATATGTCCTTACTGTTTCAGGGTCTCTAGGGAATCATAGCGTCCATCATAATCAAAGTCGAACACAGGGCCGCTGATGACGTTGACACCACTCCTTTCTTTGGCATACCTTTGCAGCAGGGTGTCATGGAGGTACTGCCATATAACTGAAAGAGAAGAGAAGGTCCTGGGTTCCAAAAGAATGGCAGGCCACACTGCTGTGTGGCACTGGCTAGCAACAAGCAAAGTCAGTCCTCCTGATAACCAAGGACAAGTTCAGGGTTGGCTTCGGTCTTAGTGTCAAGTCCACATTCCACTATTGACTTTTAGGTTTTGGAGGGGACTGAGGGGCAAACACTGGATTCGACTCTGAATTTGGAAATATGTTCGTTGAACTGTGGCAATGATCACGTGACACCATTAAGCACCAAAGCACCACAAATAATGATTCACTAACTACTGATACCTGAATTTGCCCTCTGAAAATATACATGTGTCATACACAAAAATCTAAATAAGGATGTACTTATATGTGGCATGTTTTGGTATTCTATATCATAAGTTTAAGTAGAAATATTTATCAACTCTTGCATGCATCAGATACTGAAGTGGTTAAGGATGCTATGAAATCTATTCATCTTAAAAATGAGAACAATTACACAAACTCACTTAAATAAGAAACCATACTGAAAGTTAATGTATTAGTTTATTATATTCACTAGGTAACTTTAGAGGGCATTCCTTACACTTTTTTTGCCAAAATAATGTTTATAACGTATAAATACAAAGCAAACAGATAATAGACTATATAGGATTTTTTTGTGAGTTCAAGTGCTTTCAGAGTTAAACTTTGAAGAGTGTACTTGACAAATACATTTAATCAAAACCATAAATCTTACTACATATCAACTAAATCTACACATACTGAATAATCGCTAAAGGTCTTTACCTTGAAAACTCTGATACATAGGCACGATATTAGAAGTAAGCAATGCTTCAGAATATATTTTATTTGAAAGTTTATTTAGTCCTGTAAATAAAACACAGACAAAAAGGACTGATTCATACAACACAGACAATATTTTGCAATTTCTTGGATGGAGAGAGCAGCATTAAAAAATTAGCTGAGTGTTGCCTGAAGCCTGGAAGAAGGGAAACATAATACATTTGACCAAGTTCCTTAGAAAAATCAAAATTTAAACTCTTCTTTTCACTGACCCTTTATCAAAGAGACAGAAATTAAAGTGAGAAAGTTTTGAACCACACACTTTCAAACTTTATTTGTTGTGTTTCACCTGAAAGAACACTGTGTTTATAACTTTCTTAAGCTTTTCTTAACAAAGAGAGGCAGTTCTGAAGTTCTAACTTCAGCACGACACCTACCACCCCCAGAAAACAACCCAGAAGTCTGCCTGAGCAGGCCACACAAGGCTGCTTTGAGCCAGGACGTGTTCTCTTACAGCCCAACAACCAAGGTTTGTCTGCCGACAGATACTGGGGGCTGAATGGAAGCTGAGGGCTTGGGCATCTGGGACCTTTCCATGTTTGCCTTTTAAGGCTAGCCTTAAAGTCTGCCACTTTAGAAATGGATCCATTCCTTCAAAAGGGCCATTCCAGAAGATCTGCCAGCGAGGGATGAGCAAGCTATGAAAGCCACCTACTTCCCTCACCAGTCACCTTCCTCCTAACATGTACCCCCCCAAGACCCAGATGTGGCCTTTTACTCCCCCTGAGTTTTCTACCTGAAATACTTGTACCAGGTCAATTATTCCCCCAATGCACAATGAATCATACAGTCAAGCCTTAGATCAATGTAATGTTTTCCCAATGTACAATTTTCAATATAAAAAGGTTCTACCACACGGTGCCACAGAACACGTGGAAGATATTTCTCACTAATTTATTTTATTACTTTCATTGTTGTTATTATTACTTGGGGGCTGACACTCTGACCTAGGGACTCCTACATGCCAGGCGAGCTTAGCAGTGAGTCACACCCTCAGACCCATGAGAGATATAAATGTTAGCAAAGACAGAAGCTAAGTGAAGGGAAAGCCACGGGGCAGAGGTGGAGAGGTACTTACTTGGTGGAGCGAGGAACCCGTAACTTAGCTTAGAATTACTTTTATAAAAGGAACATTTATGGATGGGACTAACAGGGATCCGAAGGTCCTGGTATAGGCAGCTGGAAAATTCGTCTGTGGAGAGATAGTCCTGAAGAACAAATAATGAAGGGTCAGCAGGGACCTTACATGGAGCAGAAAAGGAAGCTAATAAACGAACTAAAGGAAAACTGCACTGCCCAGGCCTGGATGGCATCACAACCCTCTCCTGTTTCCCATTTGTCTATGGATGTTCTCTAACTAACACACAGACACACTCTACAAGGGTAAGACTATCAATCCCCATAGGTGCAAGTATCTTCCGCTGTGATGGTTTTATGTTTGATTTATACAGTTTTAAACACTGTATGAAATAAAATCTCGGTTTCCTGAAATTCTACATCATCTTCTATATCCAAAAACACAGCTAAAAGTTGCTGAGAGAGGGAGGAGAAGCCACTGAGAACCAAGGTGAAGCCCTCGGGGGTTATGGTGGATGTGACTTCCCATAGCTTTGCTTAGGTTAAAAAACAAATCAATTCAAACAGAATCAATGGCCATCACAAAGTAAGGCAATAAGTAACAATAAATGCTGTTGCTCACCAAATATGGTGAATGCTACATACTACAAAGTGAAGAAAAGGGACTGAGGGGAACCGTCACAAATTTTTTAAAAATGCTCAAGAAATGTTGCATAAATATGAATGTCTGGAAAAATAAACATTTTAATAGAAATGCTATGCACATAGACATATCCGTATCTTTTTGTTTAGGAGCTTCAGAGACTATTAACATTAAGTTCATTTATTAAGTCTAACTGCTTCTATCACTGGAGCTCTCTTCCATCCCTGAAGGGTGTCTGTATGTCTTGCCAATCACCCATAGTTCCTTTACCATTCTCCTTCCATCTAAGCACCATGGGGCTGGAGCGAGTGACGACGATAGTATCTTATTCTGGGATATTGACACTGCTCTGTTATTGGCAGGAGCAGAGAGAGGAAGGACCGACTCCTGGTCTGGGTTGTGATCCTCAGGCAGATGGGAGGCAGTGACAGGACTGAGCTCTTAAGGCCCCCTTCGATTTGGTCAGTTGAATATAACCCATGAGCTCCGTAGCCATGCATTTAGAAAAAGAGTAATTGTGACTGATTGCCAATCAGATTTCCTTAGATTATAAATCAGAGTCACGCCATATGAAAAATAGGGGGTAAAAGAGGATAACGGGAAATCAGCTACTGAGCAGTTTATTCTGACTCTCAGAGCCACACAGATAAATAGTGTTAGACCTAAAACTTGCCTCTAACTTCCTGGACCACTCTGTTCAGTACTCTCTTCACTCAGGAAGAGGTAACATTTAACACAAGCAAACAGCTTCCAACAGAGTGTAAGAGGTGACAGATACTTGCATTACTGAGGAAGGTGTAAGACGTCCAGAGGGGCATGAGGATGTCCTGGCTGTATCCACTCATAAAGTGTTGCTGGTAAAGAAGACAAGTGCTGTGTTTCTTCTGCAGAAACCGGGGCCTTCCATAAGGTGCAGTATTATCACTGATATCCTCTACTTGAGTTACAAAGAGAAAACAAACCACTCTTCATGTTATTTGGTACCATACAATGGGACACTCAGCCACCCCTCTCCTCCTTTGAGGCATGTAGAGAAATGAGATTTTAACCAAAAAAAAAAGTCACAGACACTGCAAAGTACAGAACCACACACAAATGTGAATCCCAAAACTTTCCTCCCTGGAATGTCAAGGTCCAATGAAATATCACAAGAGGAAACTACCTTAAATTACTAGGAAGTCTAGCTAACTGGGAATTATTTTTTTGAGATAATCTCAGGTAATCCAGGTTGGTCTCATAGTTAATGTGTAGCCAAGGTTAACCTTGAACTTCTGGTCCTCCTGCTTGTGTCCCTGAGTACTGGCATTACAGGTGTGTGGCACTATTCCTAATTTCACGTGGTGCAGGAAGCCTGGACCCGGGACTTCACGAATGCTGGCAAGCAATCTACCAACTTAACTGCAAAACCAGTCCTCTGAAATTCTTTAATATTATTTTAATTATCTGCTCTCCACTAAGTAATTCGACATGAAGAAAACATAGGTAGAAATTTAGAAGGGAAAGCCTAAAAACAAGGGAGTGAAATGATGACACTGTAGACCATGGCCTGGTGGCCTTTTCTAAGTGTCAGATGATTTGCAGAACTACTTTCATCCTCTCTCTCCTACATTTCCTACACCTGTGAAATAGGTCCTACACCTGTTCCACAGATGAGGCGGCAACACAGCTTTCAGGGAATAAATACATTCCCCATCGCATTGCTCCTGAGCCCACAAACTCAGCTACACCCAGGTCTGATGCTGTCAGTCTTGCCACATATTGTGCTACCTTGGGTACAAAAGAGAATGTCCTAACCCAACAGTTACACCAGTGATTTAACATAGACCAGCTCAGGGCAGGATTAGTGCAGAGTTGACCACTTCATTCCAGCAAGGAAAAAATACCAGTCAGATCATTTGAAGATCAGAGATTGCAGCAAAGTGGCTCTGAGCATCTAGGTCACAATTATGAGACATTGCCTCTGTTACCTACAAAATCATAACCCTCATTTATGAGGAAGTAACTGTAGATAGAAAAATTAGCCTATATTAGAGAGACAGTAATTTTCAAGGTATTCTAAATGGAACCCTAAACTTTCTTATAAACCTACAAAAAATCGTCAAAATTTGAAAACACTTTTCAAACGTTCAGAAAGAGAAGCACGACAGGGTGTACACCTTCCCAGTGTCAAATGACATTTCTTGCATTATTACTTACAGGCTAGACCATCTGGCAAAGAAAACGCTATGTCTCATGAAACAGCTCCTTGTTTCCTTATTTTATTGGTTCTTTATAAAGACCCTGCCCCTAGAACAACTCTGTTGCCTCCCCGTTTCAGATCCAAGTGTAACGTGACTTACCAACTTCCATGGTCATATTAAACTGTTTCTCAAAGTCCACAATTGGCACAATCTAAAAGAGGTTCATAAAAATGAGTTTTAAAAATTAAGAGAGAGACATGCTTTAATTCTGTCCCATATCATTTCTGTAGCATTAACTAATGCAAGAAAGAACAAAAATAACATTTACAAAGTACTGTATAAATCAGAGGTTTTCCTTCTTCCACAAGGAGGGTGGAAGGGGACCCACAGCAGTTGCAATGAGACAAAATTATCTGTGGCCATGGAAAGCTATAAATCTGTTTTACAGTTCTGATCTACTCTAGGTCTAAGCAAAACAAAAGAGGAAGTGTAAAATAATCTTCATCTGATAACTTTACCAATGTTTCCCATTTGGTTCACAAATTACTGGATACTTTTACATTCTTATAACTTAAGATGTTAACACTGTGGCTAGGGTAGTCACAATTAATGAAAATGGGACATCCTATTATATCCATTTGAACAAAAATAAAATCCCCCACCCAAAATGCAGTATGTTGGGGTATATTTTAGAGAAGAAACATTCAACAAGATGGGTTTACTCTGCTAAAGGGATCCTCTAACATTTACTGTACCTGCCCTGAAGGAATTTAGATTTAAAAACAAACATACAGATGCTTAATAATTGGGTTATATCTATCCAGCTTTCTACATCTTAATTTCATTTTAGCTATTTCTGTAGCACCTTCTAAACACACACACACACACACACACACACACACACCAGTGCTGGTAAGCATTGTAACTAGACCTACCCAGGGGTCACACGTGCAGCCGAGGTTACTGGATGCTGATTTGATTGGACACTGTGTCAAGGAGCTCTCTTCTTCAGGAAGACTTGGAGTGTAAGCAGGTTTCTTTAGAAGGTGGTTAAGACTGCCATGACTTCCATTATTAGGAGCTGGGATCAAACCCAACAAATCTGCATTGTTCCAAGAATGGTCAAGAGATAATTAATTAAATTAATTGATGTATACCATGAGTTTCATTTTGTTGTTTTAAATCCAATGTACTTGATTCTCTTACTATTTAATTATAGTGAAGATAGAACATAATTCGGCTTTGGGCTATAGCAATCTGTGGCTCTTTTATCCATAAAAGTTTTTTTATTACTCTTTAAAAATGTGAGTGCAGGCCAGAGAGGGTGTTGGATCCACTACAACTAGCTGATGTGTTCTGGGAACTGAACCTGAGCCAGAAGTTATGCATCAAGCAAGCCATACTCATTGTGGACCTTCCTTCACATCCATTGACAGTGGCATCCATTCGGCTATCATGGATAGCAGAGACACCACACGTTCTGGAAAGCTTTCACTGTCCCCAAACTCTTCCGTGGTTCCCATCACTACTGAGTCAAAACTTGTAACATTAAGCCTCAGGCTCTGAGTGTTTTGCCATGTACTATGTTAAAGGAACAGGTAAGTCATCAGGCAGCATGCTCTGCATAGCCTTCCAGCAGCTCTCAGTCAGGACAAAGACCATGGAAAAAATGTAAGTATCTTCTCTCGCTGCACTAGCATGCCCACAGAGGTGCCGTGTGTGTGCCCTACTCCACCTGTCTTAAAAGAAATGTGCTGCTAACACTCACCACACATTAAGTTATAGACTTCAATGTTTTCAAAGGAGTCAACCTCAGCGCCGTGTTTGAAGGCAGGTCCATAGCCAATAAAGAGAGCCTGAAATTGCCAGAAATGTTAAAGCTTATCAGTTTAATTCAGTTATTCGTGTAGCAGATCAAAATGTTATACTGTCTGCATTGCACACATATATGTACATACATACACATATATGTGTATCTAATTGAAATGCCATGCCCAAGAGGCAGTCTTGGGGATTGTTTTAATTTTCATTACATATGTAACTCTTAAAGAGACCTAGGACATTTCTTTTGACTATAATCTTTGGCTTGACGACCAGAACAGAATGAAAGATGAAATAGTTCTTTATTTTTTTTTACATCTATGAAATGGGACAAACACCTCACCCTGCCCACATTACGGAGTGCTATAGAGATGATCATTATTATAACTAGATTCAGAAAAATGTCAAAGTGCCAGCAAACACCAGGGGTTACCTCCTTTCAGACCATAATCATGATAATCTCTCATCATTCAAATCACTGAGTTTTACCATGAGCCAAAATGTTCATATGGCACAGATACATTCAAAATGACCAGTGGACACATAGGAACCAGGTCAGTAAATCCCATGTTCATGAAAACAGGAATACAAACTCAATTACTGTGTCATTATACATCCACTCTGGGTTTTTACAACTTAGACTTCGTTTATCTGGCTTTCCTCAGATCAATCCTACTGGTGGAGTATGGTATGGGTATTGTTTTTCATTTATTGATACAAATTCAGGGTCAAATTTGTGATGTGTATATTTCTCCTCTTGATTAAGTATTGTGCTTATACTGATCTTTTAAAATGTAATGCATAATTGAATACAGGCTATAGATAGTTACTTATAAGAGTCAGATCTTATAGTTAAGTAAGTTAGGTTTTCTTCAAACCTCTCAAAGACCATCAGAAAATGGCATTTTAAATGGTTTAGGGTTTTTCTTGACAATGAGAAATGTCTGCTCCTGGCAGCACCAATTACATCTGAGAGGAAGATGGGCATCGAAGAAACTTGTTATGGAGTTTGCTTTCAACATGGCAAGATTAGCCATTTGGGCAAGAAACTGCTCTTGCCTGTACTGCTTGACTGTTGTTGTATAATCTGGACATGCAGGACCCACGGGAAAGTGACTGCCGAACTCAGTCTTACAGGGTTCCTGCTTCATGGAAGAGTCTACGAGACTTTCTGCAGGACACAGAAAAATGACTGACAGACTGCTGATGCAGATAGACAGTTTGAAATTTCCTGCTTGGCTGAGAAATCTTCTGGATCCATTGTGGCCTATGGGCTGAAGATGGATGCCCCAAGGTTACAGAGGAACTTCGGGTGACTGTCCAGGCAGTAAGATGTCTCTGTCAATCCTAGTGTTTATATATTATCCTTCTGTGGTCTTTGATGGAGTTGAAGATAGATGGTTATAGTTTTCCTTAGTTATGATAAAAGATAAGCTACATATAGGACTTTGGACTCACAAGAATGAAATAGATGATATTTTCTTTAGATATTGCTAAATGTTAATAGACAAAATGTTGTAACTGTGTTCTTACTTGATAACTGTTCTGTTATATACAATTTGACTATGTTAAAGTTAAGACCTTTCTTTTTGTTTAAACAGAAAAGAGGAGATGTTGGGGAAGTCCTGTGTATATGTCAATAAATTACTGCTGGCCAATAGGAATCTAGATAGGTGGGGCTAGGAGTCCAGGAGGATTCTGGGAAGGGGAAACACAAGAGAGTCAACATGTGACGCCATGGGGGTAGGACGCCGGGAACTATTCTCCGGTAAGAAACATACTTAGATTAACAATTATGGGGTAATTACTTAAGGCAGAGCTAGCCAGTAAGGGACAAGCTAGGCCAACAGCTTCATAATTAATATAGCCTCCTGTGTGTTTATTTGGGACTAATGCGGCTCTGGAACCAGGCTGGTGGGACGGCTTCACTCAAGGAAATAGCTTCTCATAACAGTGGAGTATAAAAGGTTTACTCACTTGCATATTTGAAAAGAGGTTGTCAGAGCCGTGAAATCCACTTCCACAATACTTCCTTTCTGATGGATTCCTACATTTTGACATAATGTAATATTATGAATTATAATAAATTAGTAATATGACTCTAGCTATTAAACAAATCTTCAACCACACCACTACTTTCGTTCAAAAAGAACAAGTGGCTATTGTTAAATCAATATAAACTAAGTAAAACCACCTCTGTTTGAAACTCCTGGGTATTATCCCTTATACTATGTTGCTCAGAGCTGATCTGATCATGAAACAAAACACAGAGGTGACCAGACTTTAGCATAGAGATGAAAGGGGCTTGAAATGCCAACTATGCAGCTGTGATCTCAAAGAATGTCATTAATCTCCATTCTGCTGACTTCTCCTGTAGGTCATATATAAGATCTCAATAATGACGAAGCTTACAATAATGCTTGGATGTAGTATCTTGTTGTTATTGGAGGTACTGGGGATTGAACCAATGGCCTTGAATATGTTAGGCAAGCACTTTACCACGGAGCTACATCCCTACCCTTCATATAGAGTATTTAAATTGTGACTACATATCAAACCTCCTGAGACTAACCACTGGCTCTTCTGGACTAAATGCCCAGCTCTCTAATACAATGGAGAGGGTGTGACTGTGTTGACAGAACTATGTTTCACTGCTTAGGTATTGCTTATCAGTGGCATTGGTCACCATTAAAGAATGGTTTTATGGGTGAATACCAAAAGATTTAGTGGTCAAGTTTTGAGATATTAACATTATTAATCATCCAAACTAGTGAGTAGCCCAACAAGCTGAGGTTTTCTGATGGTTTGGTATAAGAAAATGAAAAAGAACACCTATGTGTAATGAAGATATTGCTTGTTATAAAGTTGTTAGAAATGACTCTTGTGTAGAAGAGACACAGTGGTAAGTGGTAACACACTAATGTAGGTAATCAGAAACAATCAACACGGATGTGAGCAGTCAGACAACGACTCTCAGGCAGAACTAATCAACTAATCACCTCTCCCCAGAAGATATTTAGCAACATCTGAAAACATTTTCGGCTGTCATAAGTGAAGAAAGTCCAGGGTCCTGCCAAATTTCCTATAATGAACTGAGCAGCAAACAGAACTACCTAATTCGAAATGTTCAGAGTTTCAAACTAGACTAAAATATCCTGCAGGTACTGTTAGAAAGGTGCCAGTCTTCACCTTGAGTGGATACTAGATCAGGCTGAGTAAGCCCAGGGTATTTACAGAACTTACAATGCAAGCTGCCACTGAGGGTCCAGATAGAAGGTCAGCGGCTCAATCCTGTCACTTTTAGCGAAGTGCAAGCGCTTGGGTAAGAATTGTTTCAGGTAAGGCCTAAAGTGCTGGTTTGGCTCCCGGCACTGATGGCACAAAAGACAAAAACCAAAAAACAGAACTGTTATTCTCTCGTCAACTGGGGCATAAGTATCTCTTGAAAAATCTCTTAAATGCAGATAGGCTTTACTCACAAACATTTTATCTGTCTGTCAGGGAGACATGGGTGCTGGTAGGAATTTAAGGGTTCTTACTAGCTACAGAATTTGAATGGCAGCTGAAGCTTTTATTGGGTATTATAATTACTGCTGAACAAAAGTCCTAGGACTCTTGAAGTGTCACTAGGTTACAGTGGGGTTACAACTGATGCACGTATTTCACATGCCCTGTTAAATATAACTATAAAACATCTTTAATACCTAAAGTACACCAAATATGAAATATAGTATATATAAAACTCAGCACTTGAACATAAATGTATTTTTAAAATAGGTATATGATAGAAACCAAATCAAAACCAAGATTGTGGATATGTAATTCACTGGGACACCCCGACCAATCATGTATATTACCAAAAATAGCAGTAACGAAATAATAAAAAAATTAAGATACTCACAGAAAGATTTTTTGCCAGGTCTTCATAATTAACTGAAGGGACAAACAAAAGAATTAATAGGTAATGATACACTACAATTAAAAGCACAAATGATACAAGATGTACAATGTTATATTGTCACACTCAGACTCATCAGTGCAATACCAAAGCATGTTTTTCTTTCCTTTCTTGAGGTAAAACAGGATCTCATGAATCTCAGGCTGGCCTCAAACTCACTAGATAACAGGAAATATCTTTGAACTTCTAATCCTCTGGTCTGCAACTCTGGGATCAGAGGTATGTGCCACCATGCCCAATTCATGTGGTAGCGTGGGATCAAACTCAAGAGTTTTGTGTGGCTAAGCAAACTCTCTCTGCCAGTGGAATTATATCACCAGCCCCCAAAGCTGACTCTAAAGAGCTCATTCACTGCATCACTGAATGGCCACTGGAAAGAACAGACAGATCCTTAGGTACCTCTCTGCAGTGATGGCCAAGAAATGGTGTCACACTGGTACAGATCCTTAGGTACCTCTCTGTGGTGATGGCCATGAAAGGATGTCACACTGGTACATTAAAAGGGAAACTAACATTATCTATCTACACATCCTTCTGTGCATCTCTGTGCTTGCCCATTCATCTACATCTGCTTGTCCATCCGGCCATACACTCATCTATCCAAACATCTATTTGTATACCCATCCATCTAGATCTATCATTACTGTGTAATAATAAACATACATGTTTCAGATACATTATTAAAAATACTTAGGAAAACATATTCCAGACGTAACAAGTTGTCTCTAAGGAGAAGGTATGAGTTGTGATGTACAGAAGGAAATTATTTTCTTTGCATATTTCACAATTCAACGACAATTTTAGAATTTTCAAATAAAACAGACACAATGGAGAGGGCAAGGAGATTAAAAGCTGGGTGTAAAGGTAAGTTCATTAGCATAGTCTAGTGAACTTTGTGCTACATATTAGTAACAGTCTAGTTGTCTAAATTTTCCCTGGCTTCTCTATTTAGTTCTACATAAACTTGAGAAAATTACCCAGACAAAAGAATCCACATTGTATGTACATAGATGAATTGACACACAGCTTTTGCTGTAATTTGGGAAATTTGGAGCCCTAACTGAAATGAAGTTATAGCTAAAGCTCAGCCACATGTCGAACACCACTCTGGAATATCAGTCAATGTGTTAATCTCAGTCATCCAGGGATGTCAGTCTATATGTTTTCTAAAAGGTTATTAACCAGGCACAATCACCCCTCAGTATCCGTGAGCAATGTCTCTAGGGCCTTCCCAGAGACGCTAGCATCCTCAGATGCCCAAATCCCTACAAAATGATGCAGTCTTAGTACATAACTTACATTATCTTTCCATATATTTTGAATCATCTCTGCATTACTTATAATGCCGCGCATTGCCTTACAATGTAACTGAACTGCAGATAACTATTAGACTGTATTATTAAGAGAATAATGACAACAAAAATATCTGTACATGGCTAAAAGAGACATTTTCTTTCTTTTCTTTTCTTAACCCACAGTAGGTTGGGTCAAGAGACTTCTATGGAACCTCTGGATAAGGTTGTATTACTTTTCCCAATTTAAAAAAAATCCTTGTTTTTTGAATGCAGAGCCTTTGGTTTGTATATTGTATATATATATGTATTCTTCGTCATTAATATTCAACCATCTCTACAGAAATTTATTTCATCACAGAGCCCAAACCTAACCCAATTGTGATAATTCAAGCACATTTATATTACATTGCAAAACTAATTATATCAAAAGATGAACAAAACCAAAGACGGAAAGCAAAGGGGGAAGTAGATATAAAAGACCGTTATGAAATAAGCTTGATCTATAGACTAATAATATTTTTGTGTGTGCAGTTTTGTAGACCAGGCTAGCCTTGAACTCATAGAGATCTGTCTGCCTCTGCCTCCTGAGTGCTAGGATTAAAGGTGTGCACCATCAACTACCTGGCGATAATAAATACCTTTAAACATGCCTTGGCAGTTTGTGTTCCGATGTAGTCAGGAGAGAAGATGAAATTGCTTACCTTACTCTATGTAAAAGATACATGCTACCATTTTGGGAAATTGTTGAAGGAGGTCGTTTCTTAGTAAAGGAATTGATTGCCTACAGAATACATAATTTCTGGAGTATTCTTCATAACATAATATTACTCTAAACTGATGTGAGTTATTTTAATGGAATGCCATTCATTATCTAACCTTTAAAATTAAAAATATGGTTGAATTTTTCTTATAAGCAATGTATAAAACTTAATGAAATAAACCGTAAATTGTAATACAAAATTATATTAAGATCATCAAACAATGTTTAGCCCAAGAATATAAAATTGGGGAGTGGTGAAGCTATCTTTTCTCCGACTTAAGTACAGAGAATCTGATAGGGAGTTAATCATGCTTTCCTACAGCGAACACACACTGATGTAGAGGAATGCATTTTCTCTAGAACTATCTGAAGTTAGCTAATAGCTTCACTCACATGAATAATATTTCTCTGGAACGTCAGTGGGTCTCAGTCGAGCAGCAGGTCCATAGACAACTTTAATATTGTTCACATCTCCCAAATACTTATTCAGGTACACATACTTCTTACAACTGCCTTGTTCCATGCCTGAGGGAAATAAGCCACAGAACAGGTCGCAAATTGACTAGAGAAGGTAACACATAAAGCATAATTTCTTTCACCTGCAGAATTTGTTTTTGTTTCTTTGTTGTTATTGGTTTTCGTTGTTGTTTTTTTGTTGTTGTTGTTGTTTTGTTTTCTGTTTGAGACATGTTTTTTTCTGAGTAGTCTGCAACTCATTACTTAGACCAGACTGACCTTGATCTCACAGAGCTCTGTCTGCCTTGGCCACCAGATACTTCCAGAATTTAATTGATTATGTACACACATAGAATTTAGTACTCATAATAATTAAACATCTGATAAGACACAAAATGTCAGCTCGATGCACAACTTTGTAGTTTTCACTATATCTCTCTTTAAAAATATTTATTATTTTGACTTACGTGTATGTGCATGTGCCTACATGTGTATATATATCACAAATGTGTAGACGAAGCCAGAGGATATAGATCCCTTGAACTGGAGTTACATGTGGTTTTGAGTCTCCTGATATGGGTGCTGGAAACTGAACCCATGTCCTCTGCAAGATCAGTTAACACTCTTAATCCCTGAATCATCTCCCCAGACTTTCAATATATTTTCCTATTCCTTCATCCCCAAATTTGGCATTTGAGTGCTGATGAATTATGATATCAACATGTGTGCAAATTATGATGTCCTATCACAGTTAAAGAGGGCAATTTACCCCAAATCATCTCATATTAAACTGGAGTATATGCGTGAAGCATGAGATACTGAGCATACAATATGCTAGTATTGTTTCCTAAGATGGCTATCTATATTTCTGAAGCAATATCAAGTGATATTAGCAAAAGAAAACTGAAAAAAAATAGTTTCTTGCATGGACGGTATTATGCAGTCCCAAAGCTGTATATAATCATGTATCACAAAAACTACATTTCAGGGACTAGCCCAGCTCAGAATCCATGGTAGAAATAGAACTGACCCCCAAAAGTTGTCCTCTGCCCCCACAAGTAAACCGTGGTGCATAGGTATGCATGCAAAAAATTAAATAAAAAATGTTAATAAAGTATATTGTGAGAAACAGAAATAAAAGTATTTATATACTACCTCCAAATTGCAGATTACCATGCTAAAACAAATAGAAGATATACATAAGAATGTGTCCCAATTAAAACTAAATTATAATTACCGAAATTTAATACTGGAGGGTATTTAAGTCATGATGTAGAATTTTCTTAAACCAGAAATTAGATAGGATATGTTTGGTGTGTTCACAAGTTTCTGTAATTTTATGCATTACTTATATTTCACATTTAATGCATCTTCCCTAAAAACTATGCAAAATAACCCACATTTTAAAAAGTCTTACCCATAACATTCAATAAAATAATGAAACAAAGATCAATCAAGCCAACTTAAAAACACTGTTTAATCTATAGAGCAACTGAATGAATTCAGATTACCATGATCTGAGACAAGGATGAGGTTCAGGCACTTATCCAAGCTCAGGTCCTTCAGGCCATCCATCAGCATGCCAACCATTCGGTCAACCTTCTGCAAGGCCTTGATGACCTAGGAATGGGAAGCAGCCTTGTGTGATGCATACACACTCATGCAATTTCTACATATTTACAGTCTACTCAGAGGAAGGAGGGGAAGAAAGAAGTTAAGGAGGGAAGGAATGGGGGGAAGGAGGGACGGAGGGGCTACCAAAGCATTGATAAAATATAATACATACACATTAGACTAATACAGGTCAAGATCATAAAACGCCTGCCTATAATTAAGAATAGCATGGTACAGATTCTATATTTATTCAACCACATATTCTGAGGTTCCTCCATTAGTTGGTCCCTCCGTGAGATCAAGTTATCAGACCCACCTAGACTCAATTAAACCAGAATAATGCTTGCTCAAGACTGTAGTTTCTGGGCAGAAAACAATGCAGTCTTAATCTGCATTTCACTTTCCACAATCTATTTCTTCTTTATTTTTTAATCATTTAAATGATCACTGTATGAGCACAATGTTTCCTGCTTTTCAAACAGATTAAAGTTAATCCTTAAATGCTTCATCTAGTGCTACGTACTTTTAAAACAAAGACTTAGACCCTCAGGAATGGAACTCCTCATTTCTTTACAAAATGCCTATATTTGTACATTGATACAAAGGCTACGGAAGAGCTAGTAATTTGGCTAAGCTGCTTTCTGGCGTTTTCTTTTCCTCTCACCTTATAAAGGAAGTCTTGCCTGCATTTTCTGTACTCTACCCACTTATAGCGTGTACATTTCGGTTTAATAAGAGACAAGCTCATTCAATATGGTCTTCCACTCACAGGAAGACAGACAAACAACATAGATTTTAAATTTCAAATATTAAAGTGGTTTTGAGGTGCCAGTAATACAAAGAGGGTAGAATAGAGTTTATAGGTTGATGAATATGATTGAAAAGTAGTGAGCTTCATCCTGAATAAGAACACATCAGAAAAAACAGGAAAATGAGCAAATCAGAAAGGGTTGCACTAATCATAACCATATGACCTAATAAACACTTTTTAGCGAAACTAACACTGTCATGGACCTTACGTATCAGTCAAATAATAAAAATTAATACTTGAAATAATGAAAACCACACCAGCTGCCTAGTCAATTGCCCAAACCATGGCAATAACCATGAAAAGAAACGGAGAGTTTCTCTAGACCTACTGTGATATGGCCGAGTTCTGGTCACACTTCTTCATAACCCTCTCTTTAGCAAGGAGCATGTCTGACTTTTACTGACTACAGAGTCAAAGCAAGGGACGGTGAGGCTGCTCACTGCTGTGGAGCCACAGGACACATATTCTGGTGGAAAGACTAGGAAGGACAGAAACGGTCCTGGCTGAGGGGCAGTTTCCCTCTCTTGTGCCTGACGTGAAAACAACACGAACCAGTACCTGCTCTTTCAAAGGGTTTGACTCCATGCCAGACACAGGTCCAGAAAAACAAGGAAAGGTGGTCTATTCAGTGGTTTAAATTCAAGTGAGGGGGGGCAAAAACACTTGCCCATCCCTATTATTACATTCACCAATATTGCGTTTAGACCAAGGAGCACAGATAGGGCTACCCAAAGGACATGGCAGACCAGTGATTAAGAATCCTAAAGACTCACAAACTATCCAGCCCAGGACACTTGGGCAGGGAACTAGCATTAATTTGGGGTGCAGGATTTGCAGTCTGACTTCTAGACTCATAGGAGGCAATAGATATTTAGACAACGCCCCCTCTTCTTCTTGTTATGCCCAACAAGGATTCCAAGGTCCTGAGTTTCTATGCCCATCTTAGGCTATAGATAAGAATTCAGGTATCAGAAGGAAACAGAAAGTGCAAGAGCAGAGAAGCTCAAGTCACCTTGGGTGCTAATATTTCTGGCAATCCAGGATATGCAAATATTATGTCTTGACATGCAAATGACTTGTGATGTGAGCTCTGAAAGCTGTTAAGTGCTGCTTTCAACTACGGTCAGGGTGGCCAGAACCTGGCTAAGTTCCTAAAACATGACTGGTCACACAAGACACATTATGATCTTTACTCCATAGGTTCCTGGTTCCTATCTCTAGTGTCACAGCAACTAACATAAACAATGTTGTTTGCCTGGTTCTGTACTTTTGGTAGTGTCTTCCACCCTTTCAAGTCCTAGCTCTGTTAGGACAGGCAGGATAGGGTCACCTGAGAAGAAGAGGCTATTTCTGACATGAGGCTCACTACCTGGCACTTCCATAGAAATTTGGAGGCGTGGATACCAAAAGACTTCTCCAAAAGCACTCAAGTTTTGAGGGCAAAGAGAGAGGATACGGAGTGGAGAAAAGATTCTGAATTGAAAAGTCAGGTGGTAGTGATGGTGCATGACTTTGATTCCAGCACTCAGAAGGCAGAGACACTCAGATATATCTGAGTTCAAGGCCAGGCTGGTCTACAGATCAAGTTCCAGAACAGCCAGGGCTACACAGAGAAATGCTATCTTGAAAAAAATTTCAGAATTGAAAATTCACAATTTAGTTCAACAGTTCAATTTAGCACTGTAAAAATGTAAGCAATGTCAGTTCTCTCAGCTCTTGTTTTGTTTAAACTGATCTCTGGTTAAGCAGAATTTTGTGTAATATTCCCACTTTCTATAAACTACAGAATACTCTAGAATCCCACTCTAAAGATATTAAGCTTAATGAGGCAAGCATATACAGATAAGAATGAACTTACCTCACTGCTGACAGGTCCATGTGAGTGCCCTGAGGAATCAGGTTCTTCTAAATACAGAGTGTAAAAGTGTGGTCTAAATCAAACAGTATCAAAATGTAATATTTTACGAACACATTGAAAAACAGAATGGAAAGAATAATTCAACAGTTGATCCTGATTAAAAATCCTATAGCACCAGGGTAACATTACTAAAGTTCTGAGGAATTATTTACAAACCTGGGATTTTTCAAAGTGAAGCTATAATTTCTCAGTTTCTTTGGATATAAGACATCAGAACAAGCAAGGGCTGGAGGATGGCTCAGAGGATAAGAGCACCGATTGTTCTTCCAGAGGACCAGAGTTCAATTCCCAGCACCCACAGAACTGTCTGTAACTCCAATTCCAAGGGATCTGACACCTTCCCACAGATATGTGGGCAAAATACCAATGCACATAAAATAAACTATTTTGGCTGGGCAGTGGTGGAACACGCCTTTAATCCCAGCACTCGGGAGCCAGAGGCAGGCGGATCTCTGTAAATTTAAGGCCAGTCTGATCTGCAGAGCTAGCTCTAAGATGACAGCTACACAAAGAAACCCTGCTTCGAAAAGCCAAAAAAGAAAAAAAAAGACATCAGTTTTGTTATTGTCGGTTTTTTAGAAGCACACACATCTATAAAACAAAAGAGGCTTTGTGCCAGAAACTTTCTACATACCTTTCAGAGACAGGAAGCTGTAGCCACTTCAGAATAGCTAAAATTCTTTCTTCAAATGGTACTGACCTACAATTAAAGATAAGCAAATTAAAACAAACCTGCAACAACTCCATATCAAAAGTAAAAACTTTTCTCATTGGAAATAATATTAAGTGTAACCAAAGGAAGCCAAGACACCTACTGCATTTGAAATTTATTTGTTATCCTATGATTCCAGTGCTCAAGTAACTAACAAAGAAATAATGTAGTTTAAGGTCAGGCTGGACTGCAGAGAAATACCCTGCTCCCCCCAAAAAAGTGTTATTTTCAAACTTAAATTTGCTTTTTAATGAAGACCAGAATTTAACTTTATACAAAAAAAGTTGTGATTGGGTTTAAGGAATTGTTTCTTGTCTTCTTTTGAGGTGTTATACATTCAGTTGAAAACAGTCACTATCACATGAAGAGCTAATGCCTCAGAGGACTCACTCACTGGTGACTGGGAAGCAGACACAGGGAGGGCAGGTAACAGTCCTCCAGGCAATGTTCCCTTAATGAAATTAGTTCTGCTTCCTCTGAGCCCTGGGTTTTGTTAGCACAGTCCACAGTTCTCCCCAACCCCCACATACAATCAGCTGTGACCTTTACTGCACCTTGGAAATCTAGTCTATTCCTCACTAATCTGTGGGTTCACCCAGGCTAGTGTGAAGGTCAGCTCATCAGAACTCATTGACAATCTCAATCTATGAAATGAAAACCATGACAAGCTTTAACAAGAGGGACAGACAACACTCTCTGCTTCTGTGAACCATACCGACCACACAGTAGCATGAGATGGCCAGAGAAATACCATCCTTCCCAGCCTGGAATTTGTGAACATTTTGACTCTCTCAGGTAGATTGTGTTGTTGTTTCATCACAAATTTCAAAAGTACAAAAGGACCTTCTGAAACTAAAAAGCTTCTGTAAGGCAAAGGACACAGTCAAAAAGACAAAAAGGCAGGCCACAGAATGGGAAAAGATATTCACTAACCCTACATCTGACAGAGGGCTAATCTCCAAAATTTATAAAGAACTCAAGAAACAAGTCTCCAAAACACCAAAGGATCCACTTGAAAGGTGGGGTACAGAGCTAAATAGAGAATTCTCAGTAGAGGAGGCTAAAATGGCAAGAGACAATTAAGAAAGTGCTCAACATCCTTAGCCATCAGGGAAATGCAAATCAAAACAACTCTGAGATACCATCTTACTCCTGTCAGAATGGCTAGAATCAAAAACACTGAAGACAATTTATGCTGGAGAGGATGTGGAGAGAGAGGAACACTCCTCCACTGCTGGTGGGAATGCCGACTCATACAGCCTCTTTGGAAATCAGTATGGAGATTCCTCAGGAAAATGGGAATTAATCTACCACTAGACCCAGCAATTCCACTCTTAGGCATTTATCCAAATGACGCAGGTTCATACAACAAGGGCATCTGCTCCACTATGCTCATAGCAGCATTGTTTGTAATAGCCAGAACCTGGAAGCAACCTAGATGCCCCTCAACTGAAGAGTGGATAGAGAAAATGTGGTACATTTACACAATGGAGTATTACTCAGCAGAAAAAAACAATGGAATCTTAAAATTCGCAGGGAAATGGATAGCACTGGAAGAAACCATCCTGAGTGAGGTAACCCAGTCGCAAAAAGACAAACATGGTATGTACTCACTCATATACGGATTTTAGATATGGATCAGGATAGTGCCAGTCTGCACTTCCACAGATAGAGAGTCTGGGAAACAGGAAAGAACCTAAAAGATATGCATATATGCATAGTACCCAAGAGAAGAGGATGGAGACAAGATCCTCTGAGTGGATGGGGAACACGGCGAGGGGTGGGGGGGGAGTGGGACCTGGGAAGAATAGAGGGGGTAAAGAGGAAGGGAGTTGGTCATGGGGGAACAGGAAGTTGAGGGGGTGGGGGTAGAATAGGGGGAAGAGGGAATCATAGGATCGAAGACAGATCAGGCACCAGAGTGACCTCGAGTGATCTAAAGGTAAAACATCAATTGGCAAGCTAAGCAATAGTGGAGGGACCACCTCGAATGCCCATTCCTGATAATGAACTTGATGTCTATAACCATCCGGGAGCCTTCATCCTGTGACTGATGGAAGCAGAGGCAAACACACAACTAAGCACTGAACTGAACCCAAGGAACCCGGTGACAGAGCGAGAGGAGTGATGAGCAAATTGGCAAAGAATGGGCTGGCAAAACCAGCAGAGACAGCTGATCTGAACAGGGGAGTGCTCTTGGACCCCAGACCGACAGTGGGGAGGCCAGCATGGGACTGATCTGGACCTCCCAAATGTGAGTGTCAGTGAGAAGGCCTGGGCAACCTATGGGGCCCTGAGCTGTGGATCAGTGTCTATCCCTGGTATACAAACTGTCTTCATGTGCCTATAGCACAAAGAGAGATGCTCTCTCAGCCTGGACTCTTAGGGGAGTGCCTTGACCCTACCAAGAGTAAAATGACAGACTCTAGATATCCCCTATGTGGAAGGATTTGGCAATAGGGTGGGGGGGGGGAAGGGGAGTGCGGGAGGAGGGGAGGGAGAGGGAACTGGGATTGACATGTAAAACAAGCTATTTAAAATTAAAATAAAAAATGATAAAAAATATATTAAAAAAAGGGAGAAAAAAGTACAAAAGGAACTATTTTGGTAGTTTTGCTAAAACCAACCAAAGAAAGTCTTCCTTAAAGTGTTTGCATGGTTTTGAAAATCGGAGAGGCTATGTTAATAGCTCTTATATTAGACAGTAAATATATTGAAGTAATTTAGAAATGGAAATACAAAGATGCAACAATCTTCTTTTCAGCGATGTTCCAAACTCCAGCCCGCAATAGCTCCTACCTATGTATGCTTTATTGCGTCTGTTCTTCCCTTGTCCTGTTCTCATGCTTCCTAGAGTTAAAACATGTAGTGCCTCTATGCTCAGAACTCTGTTTCTCCTGTGACCTCTCTCTCTCTCTCTCTCTCTCTCTCTCTCTCTCTCTGTGTGTGTGTGTGTGTGTGTGTGTGTGTGTGTATTTAATTTGCTTCGTTTGAAACTGAGACTGAGCATGAAACTCATGATGGCCTTGAGTTCACATAAGCTGACCTTTATCCCACTCTGAAACCTAGGCTGGCCTGGCCTGGAACTCAGCCATCCTGCCTCAGTGCCTAGCTACTTGAATTACAAAGTCTTGTACCAACGTGCCCAGTATTACCTTATTTTTTAAATCACTGCCCAAGGATTTAAAAACACTTTATCTGTGTTTCTACAAAATGTTGGTCTTATTTTACTTTGTATTTATCATCTTTCTAAAACACTGTTTTTAAAAAGTCCTTATCCTAAAGACCCTCACTTCACAGAGTCATTCAAACATTGGAACTCAGAACAAAATAAACACAAGAGAAATATAAGTTGTTTTATATTACAAAACCTAGGAAAGGTTCCTCTACACCTACCCATTATATACTTTGTAGATGTTTGGAAGAATTCCATCAATTTCCACATCTGATCCTGGCCAGAAGTATGTGCCAGACCTGACCTGCTGATGACTAGCTGTGACCCATATCTGGGGAAGAGAATGGAAGAAAGTTAGATAATGAAAACATTAGCTTCTGAAGAGACAGAGAGCATTATCAATGTATTCTTCTCTAATGATGCAATGTTTTCAAAGTTAATAAGCTCCAGCAGTTAGATTACAATTGTCATGTACAATATCAAACCATGGTAGCTAAAGTTTCTATCCCATTAGCATCACTTCATATTATTTAACAAAAGTCAAATGTTTGAGAAGCTGAATTTACGAACTACACTATTTTGATCACTATGTAGTGTGTACATGCATCAAATTATCACACTATGTACCATAAGCATATAAAGGTAAGTGATAATTGATAACAATGATCACGCCAAACAACTAATACTAGAAGAGAGAAGACTCAAGGTAGAAGAGAGAGGGGAAGGGGGGAGGATGGAGGAAGGAAGGAAGGAAGGAAGGAAGGAAGGAAGGAAGGAAGGAAGGAAGACGGTATAACCCAAATCTATCTCTAAAGTTAACTGCTCTTAAACTATGAATCATACATACACACGGAGTGTCAACATTGGTCTGCATTACAGAAGGGTAGCCAGAGGCATGGGGAGATCAAACAGGTTGCAAAATTCTTGGGCATTAGTTTATTTTTCTCTTATTCAAATAAGTAAGATTAACAAACCATTTCAGTGGCCACAACAAGCAGCTTACCGGCTGTCCTTTGTACCACAAAGGGTTGAATTTCTCTTTACTTTTCAGTGAGAAAGAAGCGTTCATTTTGGGGTCATACATCTTGTTGTCTATTATGCCATGGGATTCTGGATAAAGTCCCTAAAGAAAGATTGATTGCAGATTATAGTTCACCTTGCAAAACAAATTATTTCATTCTGATCTTGCTGATCTGAAGTTGAATTATCCTCTTGAAGAATGCATCAATCACATCTTCCTGATATGAACACAAAAAGTTGAAATGCCCACTCACCGTAACGATGCTGTAATGATTGGGAAACGTTTTTGTAGGGTATACAGGCCTCATGTTTTTAGTGTATGTTCCACAGTTTTCTAGACAGAAAAAAAGCAGACATTGCTATTAGGCATATCATATGAAGTAACTATCCCAGGATGCCGAGCAAGCAGCCAATCAAAGTTCAGAACAAATGAAAAGCAACACCATTACTACAATGAGAAAAATGTATTATTTATTTCTCTCTCTTTCCCTCACTTTCATGTACCCAGGAAGGCGTCAAGTTTGGCGTACAGGAAAGAACTTGAACTTCCTGTCTTGCTGCACCCACCTCCTAAGTGCTAGGATTACAGTTGTCCACCACCACGCCTGGTTTATGCAATCCTGGGGATTCAACCCAGGGCTTCCTGCGTGCTGGCCAAGCATTCTACCATCTGAGCCACGTCTCCAGGCCTTATTTTCTTTGCCACAAAAGCAGTAAACAAGTGATAAGTCACCTAGGCAGTTTGCCTACATTTATCAGAGGCATTAAGTCCTAGATGGACAGTCTGTAACAACATGATGCTTATAAGATCTTCATACTTAGTGACCAGACAGCTAAATTATAGTAAGTGTAAGGAAAACAGGCTACACTCTCAGCTAGATCTGCAAGTGAACACTAAGAAGAGGCAGCAGTTGAGGTGACATTGTCCTAGACTATAAAGCACGAAACAGCCATGCAGGAATAAGCTTATTAGCTACTTTAAAACCAGAAGGCCTATGAGTCCAGGAGAGCTGAGGAATCAGACACTGCTAATGGATGTCCTCCTGGGTTAGCCCTGTGTCTCACTCTCTGCACTGTCTACTGTTAGGGGAGGAACATACAATTGATGATTCAAATACATTATCTGAAAATGTTCCCCAGATCTGTGTGCACATGAATGACCTTCCTGAGGGCTCTAAGTCACCAGCCTCAACCCTCCCTCACCCCACCCCACACATACCCAGTTACCCAGTGCTTCAGTTTAAGCTAACTAAGCCTTGATTCTGTTTAAATGCCACACATAGTTGCTGACAGCTCCTTGACTTTGAATTCAGGAGTCATGCAGGTACCATAGAGGCAAGTTTCCTCAGGAAGGGACAAGGGCTGACCAAAACCTTCCAAGTCCACATGCCTGATTTATGTCAAGTGTCTACCTGGAAAGATTATCTTCCAGTAAGACACTAAAAAGTTAAAATTTTAAATTAACACAGAATAACGATAGGCATATACATGTACTGAGAGTAACTTTTATGTTTAAAACAGCATAATGTATTTGTCTAGCAGATATTTTAGAATCCCAGTTGAGTACTGCAAATAACTGCATGTATCTACTTATATTTCAGGCCCATAGAACCCTAGAGCAACTGTTGAACACTAACAACTAACAAAGTCTTAACAGTTGTCACATCCATTTATGTTCTTCCCTCTTTCAATAATGATGCCATGACTGCCTAATAAGCAGATTTAAAGCTTTAGTTTCAACATTAAGAAAATACTATCTTGTTTCATCAGTAATTTGGAGACTAGTTTTTTCAATGAACGCTTTAAGATAAAGAAATTGAAGATGCGCATAGTTCTGCATGCCTGTAACCTCAGGACTTGGGAGGTGAAGGCAGGAAGATCAGGAACTCAAGGCTATCTTTGGCTACACAGCTCTTCTAAGGCTAGCCTAGGTTACATAAGACCTTGTCTCAAAAATAGAAAAGATAAAGTTGGACAGATAATCAACTTGACCCAAATATATTCAATTTGCCCCACGATAGCAGAGGCTAGCTGACCACTCTTGTAGTCTACATGAGTAGTATACTAGTCTTCAAATTTTTCAGCTTTTGAGATTCTATTTTAGCATGAATACTCAGGACATAAATAAATATTTTTTTCCAAAGAACACAAAATTCTGAAAAAGAATAAACATGAGTAGCCATGGTCAAGGGTTAAGACACTATGAAAACTGGTTAAGTTGGAAGTATTTTCAGGGAAATTTTCAAGGATCTACAATATCAAGACCAGTGTTGTTATGGGTTTACTGCCGTGTAATGGAGAAGTTTGGTAAAGTAGTGAGAGGCTTACACAGTACTTTTCCAAAAGAAGGCCACCTCCCTCACCCATCTCCAAAGTCGTGACCCTCCAGGACTCAACTCTGAAGTTACTCACTCAGCTTGCTAATAACAGGAAGAAATCCACCCCAGGTGTGTAAATATTCAGCTCTGAATCCATCCAAGGAAAATAAGAGAGTAGGAGGTGAGTCAAACCTGGTAATGAGAAGAAAGAGCTGTGTCAAGAGGCAAAGCAAAGACACAGTTAATAAAGATGGCCTCTCCCTGGCTCTACCAGAGGGAAAGCAAAAAGACTCAAGAGAATGTCTTACTGCATTTATATTTATATTTACATACATATTTTATCAAGGAATAATTAACATGCGTGTAGCATCAATAATACTTATAAAGAATCTATACCATTTTGAGCTACCACACAGAAACTTCAATCATGGTCTCTGCCATTCTAAAAGATTGGTCAAATGTCACTGTCACATTATGGGATTTTCATCCTTCCTACAAAAATAAATTTGAAAAATAACCTTGCCTAAATTACATTTTTCCAATTAATTCTTTTTCAGTAAATGATGCCTCATTAGCCATAAAACATATGTTATGGTTTGGCTCTTGTTGCTTTCTTTTCATATGCTGATGATCAAACTCAAGTCCTCACTAATGCTTGGCAAGTGCTTTCCCATTAATCTGCATCCTTGGTCTCATTTAACTTTTAAGTTCAATATATTTTAAATAGATAAGTACATGGTGCAGAAGCTTGAGAAACATAGCATTAAACAATGAAACGATTTACAGCTAGGGATGTTCACAGAGAAAGACACAGAAGACGTGTGACACAGAAAGACGAAGAGAACACTACACACACTAGGTGTGCTTGGCAAAAGACAATAGCTGTGGATTCCAAAAAGCAGTCATGGCTCAGGAATCATGCTGTTTTGGGTCTGCTTGTAGATGGTAGGAAAGTTGCATTACTAGATAACTACGTGCACACTTCCCACAGACAATTTCTCAGTACTTTAAAAGCTGAGGGCAAGTGCTTTCTTTATCTTAGCTTCTCAACCCTCTCATTTTAACCTCACAGCCAGACCTAAAGGTGACCACACCAAAGGAAGAACTTTGCTCTGCAGCCTTCAGTAACTTCTGTGGAGAACATAGCTCTCCTGGGAGGTCATACTTAACTGTGTGTAGTCTCAGCCAGTGCACACAATTATGTCAATAAACAAGAAGCATAAAATCGGGTTAGTGGACCACCAGGTAAATATACTGACATAAAAATACCCAGAATATTATGCTCTAAACTGTGGCAGGAATTGTATTTGCCACTAAAGGGCTTAAATTACATTTTCAAACAATGATAAACGTTTAGAAAGAAAAAGTAGGCAAGTGTAAACTTTTAGTACATCTCTGCATTAAGAAAACAAAACAGTTTAAAGAGGAATTCCCCTTTTAAAAAAAAACTTGTGATGATAAATTATTTAAATTAGGGTTATTTTTCGTTGTCATTACTACCGCTTCAAGCCAAAATGTTGTATGATAAAATGAATTACATGAACAAAATGAGCAAAAGTACAGGTTTCATGTGTTTTAAAGCTTGGAGGACATTATTTTATTATACGGTAAAAAAATTATTTCTTAACATAAACACTTCAAAAAGGACAAAGATCAATTACAAAACTCATGTAGCTTTCTCTCATAGATGTGTCATTTATTCCAAAAATGTATGCAATTATAAAAAAAATTAAAAGAACTGTAACTTGTTACAAGTTCAATATGAAAACTCCCAAAAGGGAGTCACAATATTTACTTCCAAAGAAGGTTACAAATACCACACCACCAGCAGTCATAAATAACAAATGCTGTTATTAATGGTATGTCTCTTTCTCCAGAGTCGGGTCACACCACGGTCCTCTGCAGAACCAGCAGTGGATACAAGGTCTGGTGAAAGCTCATGTTTAATCATCCAGTGATTTGTTACTGTTTTAAATCTTAATTTAGAAAGAGAAAAAAAAAGGCCCTTCTAAAGAAGGAAAAATATGTATGTCTCAGAACATAGTCTTACTCTGCTGGACACTGTGGCGTATCGATGTTTTCACACGCTTCTTCTACCCAACTTTTCTTTTCTGGAATATTTTCAGAAAAATAAAATAAAGTGAGCACACTTGGTAATGGCAGGAATGCAATGTTTATCAGATACAGTAGCACAGATTCCCCAAAGCCAAACAAAGAGACATCATGCGGCATAGACGGTAGAGAAATACGAACACAGAGAGTTACTCTGTTTCACAAGAACAGTTAACACCAGAGAGAAACCAAAATACATAACTTCAAGATTAAAATATACTACCACTCATCCCTCTGTCTCCAAATATTCTGCACCCATGGATTCAACCAACTGCAGAATGAAAATTTTTTAATTGCATCTGTAGTGAACATTACAGTTTATTCCCTAAACAGTGTCATACACACCAACTGTATATACTGTTTACACAGCACTTGTATTTTATAGGTACTGTAAGTAACTAGAGAGCATTTAAGCTATGTGTAATGATATGTACAGGTTCTGAGCAAATGCTGTGCCATTTAATATAAGGAACTTAGTGCCTGGAGTATCCTCACAGGTTCTTCAAGTGGTCTCCATTGGATACAGGAACAACTGAGTCATTTTTGTGAGAACTGAAATATTCTTTTCCTTTTCTAAGTCTTAATATTTTCAGGCAGAATTTATAACCTGCAGCCACTCTACAAAATTGGGACTTTGGTATCTTATAGTTCCCTCACATTAGAGTTAGGTTGAGATTTCAAGAAACCTAGTAATTCTTGAACAAAACATTGTTGCAGGATACAGGTACACTGTGTGAAACTGGGTTGCCGTGATTGGTGTGATAAAAAGCTGAATGGCCAATAGCTAGGCAGGAGGTATAGGTGGGACTTCCAGAGACAGAGAGGACTCTGGGAAGAAGAAAGGCAGAGCTGCCATCCAGATGCAGAGGAAGCAGCATGAGCAGTATGGAGAGATGAGGAAATGAGCAAAGCAGCAGAATATAGATGGAAGTAAACGGGTTAATCTAAGTTATAAGAGCTGGCGGGACAAGCCCAAGCTAAGGACAAGTTTTCCTAATTAATAAGAAGTCTCTGTGTCATTATTTGGGAGCTGGTGGTACAGAGAAAGTCCCGTTACAAAACATTATCATACTGTCAGCATCCTTAAAGTAATTGTGAATGCCTACAACCATTCCACCCTGAATGCGTGTAACCTAAATCAAATTTGCACCAGCTCTAGCAGGGCATGGCATACTCTGTTACAAGGAAACCTGGGACATAAAAGTCAGCCTGATCTGGAAGAGGATCCTTACCCAAGTACAATATTAAGTATGAAGGCACTATCTAAATGGCATGGGGAAGGCGACAGGAAAAAAAGGATAGAAGGATGGCTGCAGGTAAGTAAGGTCAACCACGTGTGGACCATAGCTGTCATTAAGCTGGGTGACAAATTACACATGCTTAACTCAGGCACACATTTGCACCATTCCGTAATAAAAGTCTCTACAAGTCTTTTTCAGCAGATATAACCAGCCCATCGATTAAGCAGGCATGGGTATTTGAGTGGGAGAAATGCCGTAGGGAAGTCTGACCTTGGCACACAGAGTTGTAATTGATGCAGCAGTCATTGTGAGTCTGGCAGTCATCTGAACAAGAGCACAGGAACCTGGGCAACCTCTTCTCACCGCACCTGAATTTGTTGCAAGTCCATAGGTATGCTAGAAACCAACATTAAAAAACCTCATTTACAGTTCAAATTCGACACATGCATAGGATCATCACCATCTTGGACAGGAGGCTGAGGGTCAATGACGTATTTTATAACTGAGTCCCGAGCTTCCGCCTCCACTAAGCCACTCTGAACTAACAGCTGCCAAACATGCAGGCACCCATCATTATTATCTCACTAGAAGCCTGGGTCACATCATCATTGTCGTTCAAACATAAGAAAACCTTGGCGGGCCCCAGAAGTAAGAGTCAAGATTCTCAAAGTTTAATCTAAAACCATTCATGGCAATAAGCAACTATAATCTGACCAGTAGTCCTCCAGAAGCATAGGCAGGAGAATGCCAAGTTGGAGGTCAGCCAGGGCTATACAGCAAGACCTGATGTCAATATATATGTAAATTTGATCCCTTCCTTATCTCAATTTCTCCTGTTTTGGTGGCTTTGTTTTAAAATGTTCAGTAATTCAGTGAATAGCCAAGAATTCTTTCTGTAATAGGCCCCTAACGAAAACATTCACAAAATTTAGTTTAAATGTATATTAAGGCACAGAGATTTTAGCATCCACAAAAAAAACAGACACAATTTTGTTAGCCATAGAATGTTTAACAAATATGAATTAAGTGAATATTTTCCTTAAGTGTTGAAATGCAAAGGCTACAGTAGAAAACACGTAGATTCTAAATTAGAAAAGAATAGAAAAAAAAAAAAACGATGCTGGGCATGGTGGAGCAAGCCTTTCAGCTCTGTACTCCAGAGGAAAAGGTAGGTGGATATCTGTGAGTTCGAGTCAAATCTGGTTTACATAGCAAGTTCCAGGCCAGCCAGGAGTACAGAGTGAAACAAACAAACAAACAAACAAAAAACCTCCAGGCACTGGTGGTGCACACCTTTAATACCAACCCTTGGGAGGCAGACGCAGGTGGATCTCTGTGAGTTTGAGGCCAGCCTGGTCTACAGAGTGAGTTCCAGGACAATCTCAAAAGCAATACAGTCTCAAAACTGTCTCAAAAACAACACTGTCTCAAAAACAACAAAAAAAGATGATGGATAGATGATGGATGGATGGATAGACAGACAGACAGACAGACAGATAGAATAAATTTATGTCTAGAAAAAACATTGAGTTAGTCAATCACCAACCTGGAAGATGAACAGCTTCCCTGCTGTCTTTCCTTGATGCCTGTAACCCCTCTGCCTTCCCCCAACATACTTACTTGGTTCCACACAGGTCTCCTGGAAATCCAGACAGCAGTTCCCAAGGCTGACACAGGAGCTGTCACAGCGACAGTTGCCGAATGTCCTCTCATAGCAGCGGCCTTTGCAACTTCTTACTGAAAATTATGAATAAGTTAGAGCCTGCCAATCACAAAATGCCAAAGCATGCACCAGGTAAGGCACCCCTGAGTCAAGACGCCATCATGAAGAGTAACTCACTTCTGTTGCTTGGAAACCAGGCAATTTCGCAAAGAGAAACAGTAATTTCTAGAATAAGGGAAAGCTTGTTCCTAGCACGGTCTGAGGAAAGGAGACCCCATCACACTAATCACTGTTACTTCATATGACAACTGTTAAGACAGTGCACACACACTCCCTTGAGCTCAGATTAAAATTACTATTTTTTTCAGTTTCTTTGATAGGGGGTGAAATGACTTCATGTATGGATGGCTACATAAGTGAACACGAAAGTCTACGTTTTCACTTGTATTTTAGGTGTCCTAGCTAGGCCTGCAAAATTTCAACCAATCACGAAACATTTTAGAAGAGTAAAAGTATAATAACAGGGGAGTTGAACAGGACACAAATGTATTGGATTTTGAAAACTGAATCACCAAAGAAACCATATGGGTAGAGGAGGAGACAATATAAAATCAAAAGCATGACCACTGATATTGCCTGTGGTTTACTTCCTTTATCTATATGGTGATTTTTCAATGCTACGTAGATCCTGATCTTGACACCAGGAAAACTCAACTTGTGATGATTTCATTCCTATTTTCAAACTAGCAATGGCAGAAAAAATCTAAAACCCTCTGAGGTTCTCATCACCCAGAGATGCCAACGTCTCCTGGTAACCTCCAGAGTTGCTTTAGCAACCAACTCCTTGGGGCTTAGGCACAGCATCCCAGTCATTCCTCAGTGAGTTAGAGAGAGAGGACCATAAGCACCATACATGAGCCTCTGGTCATGTCCTCATGGTTGTGTGTGTGTGTGTGTGTGTGTGTGTGTGTGTGTGTGTGTGTGTTTTGTTGTTGCTGTTGTTGAGGGGATTGGTTATTTTGGTCACAGGCCTTATTCTACACTTTAATATAAAATTTTATAGCCAAAATACTTTTTATGGCTAAAATAAGAAAGGACTACAGGAAAAAAATTTAAGCCAGCATCAAATTTATCAAATTCTCAATGTCTGTGGAGTATACACAGGACATGGAGATTACAGTTGTCTCAATCACACTGTAATGCTGAATACACACACACACACACACACACACACACGCATGCACATATACACACAGATGTAAGTATACAAACATGCACAAACAGAGACACACAAAGATGTGTCACACACAAACAAGTACACAGGCACACAGATGTACCATGCTCTACAGTATTAATTACCTTCTTTAGAACAGCTTGGTTTCAACCCAAATATACAACCAAGAATCGTTGTTAGCACACACACTGACAAAACCTGTAAGGAAAGAAAAAGACTATTAGATTTTTCCCACATCCTTCCATTTCCTCATAACTTCATTCTTTTTAGTGATTATGACTTTTCTAGTGAAGGTGTTCCCAGATGTGGCATCTGGTCACAGGGATGGGTTCACTTTTTTGAACATTTTAAACCATACACTTATGGTTTATGGGATATTCTGGGAGTGCTGACAAATGTCAGTGATAAACTTACTTAGATGTCAGCAAATTTCTAAATCATCCAAAGTTAATGTAATGAGGAAATCACTTGGCTATGCAAAGTAATTAGCCAGAAAAATGGTAACCCTTAAAGAGGAAAATCTATTAGGAGACTCAACTCCCTCCAGAAGTCTAGAAATGTTCTAGGCCACTCTTAGCCATTCACTGGCAAACCTAAACCAAACACAGAACCCTCAGATGTATTGTATAGATCACATAGGGATGATCATGGAGGTGAAGGGGACCATATTCCAGACCTGAAGGTTGCTGTGAGCCGGCTGTATGAGCTGAGGTAGTGCCTTAAGAGCTCTAAGCACCCGTTTATTCATCTACGAAACTAAACAGCTGGGCTGCACCAATCTCTCAGAGTCCTTCCAGTGTTAGTATTTTCCCAACCTTCTCCCTCCCCATGATTCTTACCTTTAACATTTAAAAGTAAGTAGACAGAGCTTGCAACCTCCAAGGCCAATGAAAACTTTGCGAGTCATAAGACAAAGGAGAAAAATAATCCACAAAACAATCCTTTTGGCTCATTTTTATTTGTTTGTTTGTTTGTTTGTTTTTGCGGGCTGGCATTTCCTTCAAAGCACCCTGGGGCATCAGTTCACAGGGCACTTCAGCCCAGTGTTCACTGAGAATATGTCATTGTGCTCTCTCATTTGGGATACGCAACATCTTTGCACATATCTATGTGGTATATTCTGTCTGTCGACTGTAAGAGTGGTCGTGGGACCTCAGACTTCCTGACATGGTACTCTAGCACTTACATTCAAGGGACCCCTGACAGCAGCCTGACACCACATCCCAGCGCCACATCTCACTGTATCTCATCACAAGGAAGAGGAGTATAACCAATTAGATATTTTGAGAGAGATCACATAACTTTATGATATATTGTTATGACTGTTTTATTATTGCTTTGATGTTTTTTATCAGTTTTGATATAAATATGTGGCTACTTTTTAAATTAGACTTTAATAGTTGGATAGAGAAAAAAGTTTTGTGTATATAAATACACACACACACACACATAGAGACAGAGAGTCCAGGACTGCCCTCAGTTTCAGATATCCACTTAGGAACTTGTACATATATTATACAAAGGGGAACTATTATCACATCCATAAAAATGGGAAATTATCAGATTAAGATATGAATTGAAAATAAATAAGGACAAATGGACAAGATGAGGTATCAGAAATGGGAACTAATAGAATTTTCTGGAACCCCTAATGGGCATATAAACGTGATTCTACAGAAAGGCAATTAGCATGTATCTATGCAAAACATCAAAATTTCTTCTACTGTAAACTGTTCATATAAATAGAGAATCTAATAGAACTATTCTATATTTCATACACTGTCATTTCAAACATTAAAACAACAGAGAACTGAAGTTTGTTTTGTAGGATCTATCTAGAACAGTTTGAACAGTACTTATATATTTATTTCCCTCTCATGTATCACATAACTTACAAAATACAGATCTTTTCTGTGCTATGAAGAGTCGTTTTCCTTTTGAAGCTCAGGTTTCTATCCTATTGTAACCTTTCCATTTCACGAGTTTATTGTCACTTCCCCTAGGAACTCCCCCATCCTTAGTGCCACAGCCACTCTCCTCATATACACTCATAAAGCAGCCTTCATTCCATTCCTCTGGCTTTCTATCTTCATCCACTAAACTTCTAATATCAATATCCCCATAGTAAGCCACGTCTTCCAAAACTCCGTTTATAATTTGTTAAGAATTTCAATTTCAGCATCATTACTTTTCTGTTCATTTCTGCACGTCACTCTTTTACCCATCAACTGCTTCAATCATTCACTGTTATAAACACACATTTCTGTCTGTGCATAACTGACTAAGATATGCCTGTCCAGTAATCATTGTCAGACTCTGAAATCTGTGGTAGGGCTGCCTACCGCTGATATGCACCTGTTATTCACACAGTAATCTAAACAAACAAACAAACAAAAAAAAAACAACTGCTAAGCTAGCAACGAAGTCTGTGTTTCATGCAATTGCTCAGGGTCAATATACCTAAAAATCGAACCATATTGCTGAGAAGCAGGTGTTATTTAACTAAACAGTGGCAAGGGAACCTGTACATATCAAGGAGCCAGGAAGAGCAGCACGAACTATCCTCAGTGACACGCAGGCAACCATTATCTAAGCACAGTTACTTCAAAACTGAATGCAACAAATAAAACGCAGAAACTGGCTTTAAAAAGGCATGTTTTGTTTTCCTCTACCAGGGAAGCATCTTGGGGAGTTAGCCTCAGAAACAGACATGGCAGAAGACTGAGCAAAATAAACAAAGGCAAAACACCCACACATACACAAGAGCCTGGGCCAAAGAAATGTGGAAGGGAAGCGGTTAAAGTCTTGCTCAAGCAAGGAGCATGCTGGGAGAGAGGAAGTCACAGCAGGGCTCTGATGTCCTGGAAGGATGCAGGGATGCCATCCATGCCTTGGGAAAGGATGGCCGTATATACAGAGATGATGAAGACTACGTGATCAGGGACAAAGGGGGAGGGACCCAGGGCTCTGGCAGCCCAGCTTGACCTATGTAGATTACAATGGACCTAAATGGCATGAGAGTCTGGGAAGGCGGTGGGAAACCTGCATGAACACTTGGCACGGCCTAGGAATGAGAACGGGAGAAACAACAAAGCAGAAAGCAAACTTGGGAGTCAGTGTGGGTGGAATAGCTAAATAGGGTCAAGCAGACATGGGTGTTTGTGTGGGAGAAATGGAAGGAAAAGAACAGGATGGAAAGAGTTGATAGCCAGCAAGCGTTTAAACTTTGCCCTTTAACCATGTAAGGAGTGACCATGGTACGTGCAGCATCCTGTCCTCTTGCTAATTAGCAGAAGGCACATGCTTCTGTTTCTATAAGTTCTTCTTCACTGTCAGAAAAATAGGTTGCTTGTATTTATATTTTATAACACAATGTGTATCACAGAATTGAAGCATAACAACAAAATAAACGTTCTTTGTGTATCCTTTTAGTCACAAAGAAAAAAAGGAAGGGAGGGAGGGAGAGAGGGAGAGAAAGAGGGAGGGAGGGAGAGAGGGAGGGAGGGAGGGAGGGAGGGAGGGAGGGAGGGAGGGAAGGAGACAGGAAAGAAGGAAGGAAGGAAGAAGTTGGCACTATCTGTTACTCTATTATAACATATTCAGTTGAGATCATTTTAGTGGGAAATTTCCCCTGGGACATTTTCAGAACTGTGAATTCTGACTCAACCTGGTTTTCTTCTCAAAGTCGTTTAATCTGATGTCAAAGTCCACCGAGCATTTATCCTGAATATCTTTTATCACATGTATGAAAGGTATCACCTGCATGTATGCATGTGCACCACATGCATGCCTGGGGTCCACAGAGGCCAGAAGAGAACACCAGACCCCTGGAACTGGAGTTCCAGGTGGTTGTGAAGACACCATGTGGGTGTTGGGAACTGACCCCAAGTCCTCTGTGAGAGAAACATGAATTCGTAACAACTGAGCCACCTCCCCAGCCCCTCACCAAGCTTTATTTACCTCTGAAACAATTCAGACACTTTTAAATTTTGAAGCTGAGGTACTTGAAGCAAAAGCAATGCTGTTGAAATGCTTTGTCTGTATGTTAAGGGTATTTATTTTTTTACTTTCCTGCTTGTTTAGTTCGGGTCCTTAACTAAACCATTAGGTTTTCTTTGACAGTGAGAAAAAAGACATGGGCATTTTCCAAACCTCATTTTTCTCACAGATTCCTTCATACACACTGTCATTAATTTTATATTACATTCATCTGTTATTTAGTAGTGTGAGTGCATGGGTGCGTGCCTCTGTGCACACATCAGAACTTGTCAGATCAGTTCTCAACTCCCACGTTTGGGTCTTGAGGACCGACCTCAGGTCATTAAGCAAGGCAGCAAGTGCCTGTAGCCACTGAGCCATCTTGCCAGCTCCACACTAGTATACTTTAATTTGCATTGCTCTCGCTTTATCAAGTACTTACTGAAATGTGAATGCCCAAACGTATGCACTCCCTGCACTGATGGCCAGAGAGGCCATGACAGTAAGTCTGAACTATGAAGAAACACAATGTAGGGCAGTGGACATTAAAATAAATTAATACAACAGAATTTGACAAAAAGCTACAGTAGAAAAATGCAAAACCTCCTGACAGGCTGGCAGCACTACAGAGATTCAAAAGGGAAAGATAACAAAAGGCTACACAAAGATATTTAGAGGAAAAAAAGGTCATTTCCTTCTCTGTCAATGAACAAATGTTCAACTGTCTGCAGTGTGTGATGAAATTAGGTTTAGTGAAGAGGCACAAAAAAAAAAAAGCAGAAGACATTGTCCTGAAGTTCCTAATCTCAGAGCATTGAAATGCAGTCAATGAGGAAGACATGAACTAGCAAGAAGCAACTTGACAGTTAACCAATATAATCACAGTGCATGCTATGGTGTTTCCTGCAGCTCCATGCAGGTACAGAAGGGAACATGAAACCTGAGAAAATAACCACAATAATATCTGCCACTTCTCCAGCAAGTCCTACACTTTCTAGCATTTTATAGTTAAGTCACTTAATCCTCACAAGAGCATTCTCAGAGCAATTATAATGATTACACAGTCTTAAGGAAACTGAACTATGGAGAGGTGAATAACTTGCCAAGGATCATGGGTTTAATTGCAAAAATGGCAAGATTGAAACCCAGCCAGGAATTGGGCACAGGGTTTATGGAAGATACTTGGAAGGTGAAAAGACCTTAAAGCCTCTAACTATGGA